ATCGGTATACTTCGTTCCAGTTATTGCTGCCATCTGAAGGAAGGCCCAGCTCCACCTACAGTTAGGATGGACGGGAAGAGGATAGCAGGAGGTAGCAAAGTGGTTTATCTCAGGTACCTTGGACGATGGTGGAGTTTAGGAGCGTGAAACAGTAGCGGAAAGCAGCAATGTTTGAAGGATCCGGCGTATAAGTAGCCTCAACCTGGGCCTTAGTGGGCGGACGACGCGCAGATTATGCCAGAGTGTATTTGTGCCGAGACACTGCTTTACAGGGCAGCGGTGTGGGTGAAAACCGTCAAAGCGATCGGATGATGAAACGTCTGTATTAGGAGCCAAGGGTGCGCTTTGGCGGCAGGGGCATATCGTACCACAGTACGGATACTCTACTACTTCGCTGGCGGAGTTCTCCCTGGACCTGGCAGCGAGGAACCAATGGGGCCGTTGGCTAGGGTGAAGGAATAGAACCAGGAGGGCATATGGAAGGTGAAGGAAGGAGACTTGCCGAGTGGCAACACGGTGGGAGAGCTGAGTGAAGGGCAGACTCACATATAGCTACTTCCCATGCGTGAAAGAAGGTTGAAGTGTAGCTGGGTGGAGGTGGACCATGAGTCTCCAGTTCCTAACGGGACATGGGGATTTGGGTCCTATCTCCTACCCTTCTAAGTCGAGACCGACGAATGTCAATGAGCTCCGGATACGATGGGTACGTCGTCTTCAGGTACGATGCACTGGCGAATAGACGAGGCACTAATAGACCTGAGTGGGCGAGACCTACAGTGCCGTGTTCGCCGCGCGTCGTGAATTCCCGGGCTCGAAGAGTTTCGCGGATTATGACGGAGAGTGTCGGCCGTTCGCGGTCATGTTGTCGGACATCTCGGTAGATGAGTTGAACCGCATCGCAAGAGCTGGGGCGTCTGGGACGGGCGGTAGCGAAAGGCCACGGCATAGATGGTGTGGTCGACCCTTCGGGTGATGTCTGCCTATTCCGGCCGTGGCTCGTCCGACTTGACCGAGTAGGCATCTGGGATGCGGGGTGCAGTGTTGTTGTTCCGGCGCGATGGTGAAGAGACAGCGGAAACTACTCGCGGTAAGTTGTTGGCTCTTCTCCAGTATTACGTGTTCACTAGGTGCGCCTGGGGCGCATGGTTTGATACACGGTCTTCGGGCCACCAGACGCTGAGCGGGCGTGGAGAAATAGGTACTCACTCTGCAAAGGCAAAATGAGGGGTCACGGCCACCGTGTAACCCGCGAGCGCGGCGTTATGGGCAACCACTAGCCCTCGGTATCTGTAAAGTAAATATTAGGAGGCGAAACAACTAACTTTAGGCCATGATGAAGTCTAGCCGAAACGTCGCACTAGACGCCTGATTAAGTGGGAATAATTACTACAGGAATGACGTCTGGAACCAGCATCGGGGAAACCTGGTGGACGTCTGGGATCGGATGTGTGGCGGTGTGCAAACGAAAGTGGTTAATGATCGCATGCTGATCGGCGAAGGTTAACGGTAGTATTCCTGGGAACACAGCCACTCTGCCGGTGGGGTATATCACCTGGCGTTTGTAAACCATGATAAGCAGCAGGTTAGATGGTTGCGGCCCACCAGTGGTCAGTAGAGATTTGATACATCTTGACCAAACTGGTAGTCATTTGAAAAACCCGTCAAGGCGAGGGCGTAAGCTCACTGCAAGGACTGGTGGATGGCCTTGCAATATCTCATATGACGATGCTTGCGTCGCACCGAAACATGGTGCCTCTGCTGAAAGGGTTGATCTAGGCTCCTACGCTTTCTTGCGGGTGAAGGACTCTGTCAGAATTTGTTGAACTTCGGAGGAGCCTCTTCGGACTCAATGCGGGTGGAACCGGGCGGAGAAACGTATTCCAGCATCCTAAAGGCGATAAGAGAAAAGGTGGACGCCAACGAAATCGGATGCCAGATATCGTCTATCAAAGAAAGTAGAAAAGGCCAGATCCTGATAAGATTGCACCATAATGACCAAAAAAGGGAAGAACTAGCCGAGGCGCTCAAAAACCTAGGCGACCGAGCAGTAGTAAGAGGCCTAGTCAGCCAAGACGAGCTAGACATACGGGATCCTCGACAGCGTCACCACGGACTCGAGGTGGAATGCTGCATCAGATCATCCCTGGACTGCCCGCAGACGACCAATCGGTGAAGGTGAAAGCATCCGCCCGGCTCCCGCAGGCACCCAAAGAGCAACAGTGAGATTAAGAAGCACAGACGCGATCAAACTGGCAAGGAATGGCCGCATCAAAATCGGATGGATCAACGCCCGAGTGAGGATAAGGGTAAACGCCATCCGATGCTTCAGATGCCTCGGATACGGGCACACACCAAATGCGAAGGCCCGGACCGCTCAGGAGTGTGTAGTCTCTGCGGAAGCGGCAACCACAGAGCGTCTGACTGCAACTCGCCACCGAATTGTGCAGCCTGCACGGACATCAAGCAGCAAACAGGCCATTACCCTGGCAGCAGCAAGTGCACGGCACACAAATTAGCGCTGTCAAAGACGAAGACGCCTCACATCGAGCAAAGGGAGTCAGGTAAAGAAACCGACGCCCCGAACTCCAATCGACATGCCTAAATACCTGCAGATAAACCTGAACTGCTGCAAAGCAGCTCAGGCTCTGATGCACCAGGTGGCAGCAGAGGAAAATGTGGACTTCGTCTTCGCAAGCGAGTTCCACAGAGAGGAAGGGCCAAATTGGAAAGCCGACACATCGGGAAAGGCAGCGATAATAATGAACACCAATAAGAGACTTGACAAGGAGGGGAGAGGAGAGGCAGGCTTCAGGTGGGTAGCAGTCAACGGCTTGAGGCTGTTTTCGTGTTACTGGTCCCCAAACTCAACTATCCAGGAATTCAAGGATTTTGTAAGCAGGCTGGAGAGAGCGATAAGGAGTGAAGCAACGGAGGTCCTACTAACAGGCGACTTTAATGCAAAGCACAACGGATGGGGATGCCCTAGGAACGACCAAAGAGGCGACATACTTATGGACATGGTCGACTCCACGGGGATGGTGATCTGCAACAAAGGCAAGGAATGCACGTTCCATAAAGGGTCAATCATAGACCTGACCATAGCGACACCCCGCACTGCCCAGACGATACAGAGGTGGGAGGTTCTCGACAGGGAGTCACTGAGCGACCACTTTTACATCCTATTTCAGACCAATACAGGACCGGCCAGCGACGAGCCACGTAGGGGACACAAAATAGACGCGAGGAAGCTGGAGACACTGCTCAAATCCGCCCACCTCGCCGAAACCCTCAGAAGCTGCTCGGACGCGAACAAATGCGCGCAGACCCTCACGGAGCACATCAGCAAATGCCGCACAACAGGTACGCGCGGAATGAAAACCAGAAAGTCGGTACACTGGTGGAGTCCCGAAATCGACGCGCTCCGAAACACCGCAAACCATCTCCGAAGGGTATTCCAGCGGAAAAGGAAGAAGCACGGCCCCGCAGAAAGCAAAACCGAGGAAACCAACTCCAAGGCGGCCAAGCGAGCACTGGCAAACGCCATAAAGAGAGCGAAGGAGACGTCATGGAGAAACTTGTGCGACTTGGTCCAGAGGGACACATGGGGCCTGCCGTACAAACTGGTCATGGACAAGCTGGTCAGACCGGCCCCAATCCCGGAACTGGACACCCCAGGCAGGCTGCGTCTCATCGTGGACGGTCTATTCCCGCAGCACCCGATGAGGAGGAAAGTCGACTGGCCCCTTGACCTGAGCCACGACCAGAACTGGATGATCAACGAGGCCGAATTAAAGATCGCGGCCAGTAGCCTCAAATCAAAGATCGCTCCGGGACCAGACGGGCTCACGAACGAAGTGGTCAAAACCATCGCCTCGTTGAACCCGGGCGTGCTGACATTGGCCTACAACACCTGCCTGGCAAGCGGAGTGTTTCCAAAGATATGGAAGAACGCTAGGCTAGTCCTCATCCGGAAAGGGGACAAGCCCCTCGACGCGCCGTCATCTTACAGGCCGCTATGTCTCCTCGACTGTCTCGGCAAACTCCTGGAGAAAGTCCTAGACAATCGGCTTAGGAGGTTCCTGGACGACAACGATGGACTGCACAGCAGGCAATTTGGTTTCCGAAAGGGGCACTCTACCATCGACGCCCTGAACACCCTGAAAGCAACAATCGCGCCAAACCAGAAAGTCGGCATACTGACGCTGGACATAAAAAATGCGTTCAACTCCGCCCCCTGGGCAGCGATATCAGATGCCCTAAGAGAAAAAGACGTGCCCGTATATCTGAGGCACATCATCGACAGCTACCTGGAAGACCGTACGCTGATCATCGAAGAGGGGGAGTCTCGCATAAAAATCGACGTCACGTGCGGAGTTCCACAAGGGTCGGTCATCGGGCCCACGCTGTGGAACGTCCTCTACGACGGCCTCCTGCGAACACGACTCCCGACAGGCGTGGAATATCTGGCGTTCGCGGACGACGTCGCGCTGGTGGCCCGAGCAGCGGACTCAATCGAACTGGAGCGTCTACTAGCGACATCAGCCCAGATCGTGAACGACTGGCTTGTAGAAATCGGCCTAGCCCTCGCAGAGGATAAATGCGAACTCACTATGCTTCGTTCAATTGCATGATGCTCAACCCGTAGCGCTCATGTCCTCTGCCCATGTCGGTGACACGACAGAAGGATGAGGCTACGTTGCTACGGTTGCGTTTGTGGCTTCTGCACTGATGTTAGGCATTATCCGAGAAGCCTTCGGCACCTTATCTGCTTTTCCAACTACCTGGCTTGCCCTGAACCTCCATCCACTGTCTATGACACCTGTACTTTATGCACTTTTGAGTTCACCGTGTGCCCGTTTATCGTCACGCTGATGTCGTTGTGTGTCCGAGTTTTGTAGTATCGTGAGT